TTTGTTAGTTCTGCTTCCAATGCTTCTATCTTTTCCAAAAGAGGTTTTGTGGCTTGTTGGACAGATTCTTCAACGAGAGTAGACACTGCTTTGGATAATATTTCTTTAAATTCACTCGACCGAAAAAAGTCGTTTAGTTCACTTCGCATTGTTTCCCTCATGTCGGTTCGAAGCTCGGCTGACTGAGAAGCTGTTGCTTGTCTAGTTTCTGGCATAGCAATTTACTTGTTACTCACTATAAATTATTAACAATTAGCCTTCTTGACCACAAGAAGTTATCACATATATGATAGAAATGTGATAAATAACGGAGCTCAACAAAACACGTCTGCCCTTGGTGAGTATATAGTATCGAATTGTAATCAAGACCCAACGTTTCGACACTCCAGTCTAGTGTCTTCATCACTGAGGGGTGATCTAAAGTTGCAATCGTGGCTTCTTATATACCCAAGGGATGACGTCACCTGCCAATGAGATACATGTATTCCTCTGGCAAATAGGCACCGTCATCCCTACTCAAAGCACGATTACTCATATTTATATGCCACGCTTCTAGGCAAAGTCTTTGACCATAGCGATTGTTTGTGGTAATTACTTTAGAGTTTTCCCACGTAATCTCGTGTTTGGTGTAACATACATGTTCTGCTAAAGCTGATTTTCCCTTGTCTAAAGTTGAAACAGCCTTTTGATGTTCTTTTAGCCGTGTACCAAACGGGCGTTTAGACTGACCCAAATACTCTTTCTCGCAGTCACCTCATAGTATAGAATACACAGCATACTCATGCTAACAAGTAAAATTTATTTAGCTAACAAGCTCAGTGTTGCCCACATGAACATTCCATACTATATATTATAATCTATACCATGCAGGTACACATGTGGACAATCTGTTGTATACTATCTGCTATGCCAGCAATTCATTCTAGATCATTACTCATCAAGAACATGCTAACCTCACACGTAGCAGTAGTCTTCACACGTAGCAGCAGTTCAACACAAAGGGTACTTATTAAAGAATACATGGCCTTTGTTTTCAAATACAGTAGTCCCGCACTAACTCGAACTCGCTTAACTCGAACTCCTCGCTAACTCGAACAAATTTTGTTTTCCCTTGTCAAATTTATCCCGTTAACTCGAACTTTGTTTTCGAAGCACAACCTGAAACTTCGATTTTATTCAAATAACAACAGTTTAATCGGTGTATAAATGATTATAAATTTTAAAAGATTATACACATTGTGCGACGATTGTTATTGATCTAGTTTTTTTAGTTCCTTTTGTAAAATCTCTACATATTTTTCCTATCCAATGAACTTTAGTTTGCATGGAACTTGGCATGCCTTGTCCATCACCCAAGTTAACAGCTTTGCCTTTGATGATAATTACTGTGCATGAACTGTAAGTATACGCTCGCAGAAAGTAGAAGACTGTTTTAGCAAAGCGCCCACTTTTCCCTCGTTTTAAATGTCCCACAACTCTATCGTGAAGAAGAACACACACAGCGTATTTATCGACAATATCTGTCGGCTCGATCTTTGCTTTTAACTACTTCGTCCACTCTCGGTGACCATTCATATTGGTAGGCATGGTATCCCTTGACGAAGGATTCGATTTCAAACGAGATCAGTGAAGCTATTGCTGTATCCGCTTCTTTCGGTGCTAACGGTGCTGTACTGATCAACGATCAAAGATACTGACTAAAGAACCTTAGTTGGGGATGCACAATTAAACTTTTTGTAATTCTGATGAACAGTATAATAAAACTTTTGCACCTTATTAATTATTAACATAATAAACGAAATCTGACACCAACTCCGGTTAACTCGGACCCCCGCTAACTCGAACAATTTTTCGTTCCCCTTGGGAGTTCGAGTTAGCGGCGTTCTACCGGATATGGTTTTCTCCTAATCTGCTTTTGTTTACCCTGGGTTCAGAGGTTTTCTGGTGTCAGCTTAATTTAAAACAGAAACCCCCTGATCCAGGGTAGCTTTTGTTTTGTCCTAGAGATGGACTTACTGCAGGGAATGCCCCCCCCCCCTTTATTTCCTTATCAAATCCATTTTTTATTCGAAAAGGCAATTACCAAAACAAAAATAGAGATGAAATGAGAAAGTAACAAGCAAGTCCACAGACCAGTGCATTGCTGATGCAGCTCAGTCCTTTATAGATTATGGTGCAGTTTCACATACTCTGAGCCATGACTAAAAGTCAATGAGAACCCCCCTACCACATCTTGCAGAGGGATCTATCAGATACTAGTTTACTGGACAATCAAAAGTACAAGACAGTATAGTTTACCCCGCACTGGCGATGGAAGTTCACTGATGATGGTACTGTGTATTGTCCAATTAAACGATTTATTTTCATTTTCATAAACAGTAGAAAATCAGATATTTCTCGATTCACTCCATACCTATTTTACATGTGTTTTGTACTTGACACATACAACAAGCATAAATTTCTGTCTGTAAATGTAGTGTGGCATTATTAAACACGTGATTAAACAAGAGTAAAACTTTTACTATACTTATTTTATGTATCACGTGCCATGCAGTAATTGTTTGTGTCCCCCCCCCCCTGCAAGGACAATATAATTTCAGATTTTACGATTCTATGAATACAGAGCATATTTTGCCAGATACCCCTGTATCTGGATTGTGCGTGTCACTATACTGCAACACTTTCTTGTTGTTCACAAACAAAACCCACGGCGGGATAGTAAGATAATCTCATTATCTGGTATCTGGCAGGATGGTAATGAATATTGTTTATGAGGTATTAGGCTTTCTTTTCAGGTTAAAATGTAGAGCGTATTTTAGGGCCCAATTCAACCCGATGAATGCATGGGCTAACCAAACAGTCTGATTAACCCATTGAGTGCAAACGCTCTCCCTTTGACGAGTAAAATCGTCTGGCGTTAGACAGAGTAAAATAGTTTGGCGTTAGACAGAGTAAAATAATAAAGTAGGGTGCATTCTAGGGTGCAATGCAACTTAATGGTTAATTTGTTTTACCATGCATGGTTTTGATATTTTGTTTGTCAAATATCTATACCTTTCATCATGTGTTAACCAACGTCAATGCTGTAAGCATGTGCTAATGAAATACAAATGGAGACACAATTAAATGCACGTTTCAGGAAGAGAATGGAATCGGAAGCACTTGTCAAGTGGCTTAAATTGATATATTTGTAGTGACCTTCCTTTTTCTATTTAATGTTTCACTGAACATCTAATTTTCCATTCATTACCGAAACAGCTTGAAAAATTCAACAATACAGCTATATTGTAAAGGGACTTGTACATGGAGCTGATGAAGTGATGATATGCGAGATGTTTCTGCAGGTGCCCTTTCACCTCGTTTAATTCGTCACTATAGTAGGTGGGAAGTTTAGCTCCAAGGTTAATCACAGTTAATAGACTAAGATCAAGCAGACAGGGTAGGTTTTCCCATAGATGGTCCACGCTGGACCTCGGCAAGAACTATTTAAATATAGAATAGATACAGCTAGCTATAGTCTATAGATACATGCATGTATAATTACAGTATAACTATTCTAAATTACTAAGATCAGTAAAATGGGTACTGTATTGTATTTCGTAGCTTTTCACTACATCGCATTTTAAAGTGTACATTTTCTTCCTTATAGAGCTCTTGACAGGTTTTGATCAGATCAGCCAATCACGTTTAACCAGCTCCAAGCTGATTGGCTGAGCTAATTGAAACCATCAAATGATCATCACAAACATTGAACTTTCTCATGAGAAAAGACAATGTTTTTATCTGAGACCGTTCATCCTTAGTTGCAAGCGACGGTCACATTTTGTGTGATCGGTTTTGTTTTACATTGAATGCCTCAAATGAATATGATGTTCAAAATATTTTGATTCCTTATGCGAGTACATCTTAATTTTTTGCGCACATGTTTATTTGCGTAAAATTTTTCTTTGAATGGGCGAGGAAATACATTTTCGTGCAGTTTACACTAAAGACGATTCTCTGATCAAAGTGTGTGACATTGTAAATAAATTCCATACACGTCAGCCAATTGATTAACTTAATTAAATCAATATATAATATACATGCCGAGGCGTGCAGGCAAATCATCCTTGTTTAATTAACACAGGAAGTGTTTAATATGTTGTTTATTTGTCATTATTAGTTTTGTATTTGTAATCAAACCCATATGCTGAAAGGGCTACAGCTGTAGAACTTCCACATACCTCCCGTGTGTTGTAAGTCCACTTCCTAAGGAACAGGTGCTATATAGTATTAAACCTAGAACCATAAATATTTTATAAATATTTTATTTTATTTTGTAAATATTTTATATCATTAAACCTAGAATTAGAATCTCAAATTTTTGCATGGAATGCTTTACCAGACAATCTATAAGATGAACAGTCTCTTCCATCTTTTAAGAAAGATCTTCGTCAATTTTACTTTGACAGATTAGCTTTTTTATGGTGACAATTTAGGTTAAAATGATGTTTATTAGCTTATATATAATATTCTCTTATTGGCATAATTACCTAGTAAGGGACTTCGTGTCATGTTGAAATATTCAACGGATTTCACAATAGATTTCAAGACTTAATTACTTTCTGGGATTTAGCTACAAATTTGGCAAAATTTGGGGATATTTTGAAAGATTTTTTAAATTTTAATTTGAGTATACTGTCAATTTTTATTTTGAGTACACTACTACACTGTGAAATGATCAGTGAAATAACAGACAAAGGTTTCAGACAACGGAAAACAATGGCATACCCATACATTGCGAGGCGAAAGAAACGAGACTCCCCTCTCGTTTATTTCACCTCGCAAAGAGCCGCTGGAACCAGGGTAACAATACTCAATAGCACTGCATATACCTCAATTTTGGTTTCATGATATACAGTAAACAACATTTTTACAAATTTTGAATCATAAACATGCTGTAGTTGTTTTCCCAGGCGGTTTTAATACATAAATATGCAACAGATGAATGGTAAGTGTCTTTTGGACGCCCTTAATGTTATACTGTATTAAAATACTTGTTCTGAGTTCTACTAAAATTCTTCACCATGTACGTCTTTCAAAAGGAATTCATTTAATATGACAATATTAGGTCCTTGCCATATCAGTGGTCCCTGCCCTTGCCTTAATGAGATAATTTGATATTGGTTAATTGGGTTTTCAGCAAGGCATATATAGAAATCAATCATCAATTTGGGAAGAACATATGCAAATGTTTATATAAGATTTATTCTTGGACATGAGTAACACTTCAAATTTGGTATCAAATGAGACAAATGATGAAATGAACTGAAAATATGATAATCTGTGGTAGAAAATTCAAGGCATGTATTGATACACTTCAAATTTATGAATATATATATATATATATATATATATATATATATATATATATATATATATATATATATATATATATATATATATATATATATATATATATAGCTTAAGATTTTGGTTTACAAAACACAAACAGTGCTCAATACCATATAGATAGAGCATAATATAGTTTTTCGTTTTACCTCAAAAAACCACAACAGATATATATATATATATATATATATATATATATATATATATATATATATATATATATATATATATATATATATATATATATATATATATATATATATATATATATATATATAATTAAATCTCCAGCAGACTAACACTACTTGTATCTTTGCAGACTAACAACTACTTGTATCTTTGCATAAAATAGCAAAAAATTCATGAAAATAATCTACGACATAAATGTAATATAAACACTAATTATAGAGTGATATACAGCAACTCAAGGAATTTTGGAAATATAATCTTGCAATTTTTGTTACAGTTTGTAAAAAAGCATTTACTGGCAGTGTGGTAGTTCAGACATTTTACTTTTTAGTTCTCTGGTTATTGCTAACAAGTAAAATCCATTGTACAATTAACAAGCTCAGTATATATTGTACTATCTGCTAGGAAGGTGTACATGTAGACAACTGTACTATCTGGTTTGCAAGCAATTCATTCTAGATCATTGCTCATTCAGAACATATAGTGCTGACCTCATACATAGCAACTAACAAAGACTCCTACACAAAGGGCACTTACTAAAGAATACTTGGCTTTTGTTTTCAAATATATGGTTTTCTCCTAGCCTGCAGGGGGTGCACACCCCCTAGAGCCAATTTCCTTAAATCAAGTCAAAAAAAAAAAAAAAAATAGATACAAGATGAGAAAATAACATTCACGATTGTGAAATTGTCAAGGAAGACTACAGTGCATTGCTGCCATAGCTCTCTATATATATTGTACTGTAGATTATGGTGTACTGTAGTTAGTGAGTTACACATACCCTTAACCATGACCAGAAGTCAATGAACAGCCCCTACCAAATCTGGCTGGATTACTGGACTATGAAGAGTACAAGACAGTAATCTACCCGGCACTGGCAAGGGAAGTTAATAATGGAAATAAAAAAATTACTGATGACGGTACCGTGTATTGCCCTATTAAACAATTTATTTTCATTTTCATAAACAGTAAAAAATACGTATTTCTTGATTGAGTTGATTCACTCCCTCCGATTCACTCCATACCTATGTTTATAGCATGTGCTTTGTACTTGACATGCACATAAAGCAAGCATAAATTTTTGTCTGTAAATGCAATGTGGCATTAATAAACAGGAGTGGGCAAATATAGCACAAAAACTATAATTATTTTTATGTATCACATGCCCAGTAATTGTTTGTGTTTCACAATCTTGGTATGGAGTAACCCCCACAAGGACAACATAATTTTGGGAAGACATGGGAAGACCTACAATGAAGCAAGTCCACAGTTGCCATTAATAATACTAGCTAGCTACTTCAAGTAATCAAAATAATATTTTGTCATTTGGACTGGAAAACAAGAAAAAAAATGAAAAAAGGAAGTGAGTGGGAATGTAAAACACTTGTTTTTTTACTTGGCCTAAATCCCATGGAAGTTTAATTTCACTGTGAACATTCCACACAGCCATAACTATAGGTTGCTATAGAAATCAATGGCAGGCATGATGTGTCTGGTCACTCTGCTTTTTGCTGTTTAGTCATTGTGCTTCCTTAGGGAGAAGACTGGCATTTGCCTGGGCATTTGCACCTTGTCTGTTTATCTGTATTTATAATCTAAAGTTGTCGGCAACTGTTAGTTATCCAATCAGACTAATGGAGTTGAAGACAAGGTAAATAATCCATCATCAACACTTCAATATATTGGAACCATGATAGAATTTGTTATGTTGCTAGATATGTAACCCCTGTAACCAAGAAACAACATTATGCAACACTCTATAAAGCAACATCACTACAATCAAAACATGTTGACTGTTCAATTGGCAACATGATATCATTATAAAGCATAGTATCATGGATTACGCAACAGACTACACCGATATAAGGCTAGATAATACAAACCACAAAAAACTAACCTTGTGGAATATTCATAACCCCAATTGTCAACCCAGCTGCAATATCCAAAAGTAAATTTCTACGCAGTTTATATTTTGGCAGCCATGAGAGCAAGGGTACAAATGACAACAAAACATTTAAAAACCTTTCACAAGAGACCTCGGGCTCAAGGCTTCGTATTTTTTCCCCACAGCTTTTGTCTTTATTTGCTTCGTGATTGTAACGATCGAAGAAGTTTGATTTGTTATAAACCGGTCGCGAAACGAAATAGACATCAGAATGTTTAGATTCTTCTTTTTGACTTTCTGTCAAGGATATTTGGTCTTCGTCGACGCCAGATTCGGTGGAAACTTGATCGTCTATTGCAATAATTGCACTGCCTGATGTCATATTTAACAACAAATACCAAAATACACAAAGAGAATGATCTCCCTTGGCTTACACTTGCTGTGCCAAGTTGTATTGGGAACAGTGGTCAAATTATAAACTATTTAGGAAGTCCTTGACACAAACAGATTGTTGTAAATGAATCGATTGTTTATTGTTTCTGATATTTATATGCAGCTGTTTCCACTTAGTTTTTCCAAATTTCGAAATCCTTAATATCCTTTACGCAAGTGGAAGAGCGCGGCCCGCCCATTGAACTATAAATAAACTGGAAGGCTAACTCAGGGGGGGGGAATTGAAGCCAGTGCATTTTAGTTTTTCTGAGTTATGAGCAGAAATACTCAACACTGAACGTTGGGCTATATATCAAATTGAAGCTATTGAAAAACGCTATTTGGTGTAGAAATTTCAAGACTTTAGCTAAAAGGGAAATATTGAAAAACTACAAACATAATTACCGATAATTTGTCGTTTTGCAGTTGTTTTTGTATTTTTTAAATATTTTTCTTTTGGCTGAAGTCTTGAAATTTCCACACCGAATAACAATTTTCAATAGCTTCAATTTGATATATAGCCCGACGTTTGGGGTCAAGTATTTCTGCTCATAACTCAGAAAAACTATTTTGGCTTCATCAAATCATAGGCCTTCATCATAGCAGTTAGCCTTCCAGTTTATTTATAGTTCAATGGGCCCGCCTGGTCAACCCACTGAGCTGTATAATAACTGGAGGACCTGCTCCTATACTTCGTTCAATGATCAAAGTCAGGCCCATTGAACTATAAATAAACTGGAAGGCTAACTCAGGGGGGGAAATTGAAGCCAGTGCATTTTAGTTTTTCTGAGTTATGCAGTGGCGGCGCCAGGCTTCCAAATTTGGGGGGGCATTTGAGGGGCAAACTCAAATTTTGGGGGGGCAAGATAGAATTTTTAAAAAGGTCGCCCCCCAGGAAATTCGCCCCCCCCCCTCCAAATGTGGCGATATTCCTAGGAATATCGCCTCCCAGGGGGTGGGGCGAATACCCTAGGAATATCGCCCCTCTTTAGGACATTCCCCCCCCATATATGCGATGTGGTTTATTCAAATAATTTCGTGATACTTTCATTTTATTATTGCCTTACACGTTTGAGAATTTAACTCTGCAAAACTAAAGCTTTTTTGTCTTTTTTTGAAACGTATTTTTGGAGTATTGGCAAGTTTTACCATTCGGAGATTTACAAACTAATATTGAAACTGTAAAAAACAGTTTCATGTATACGCGCATTCACAAATGAGTAATGACAACTTATAAGCCATACATTTTCCGATAACGACAGAACACTTGTGTAGCCTTTAGTCGCTCTTAGTGACTAATAATTTTTTTTGAGGGGGGGCAAAATGGGGGGGCAAAAAATAATTTTGGGGGGGCATTTGCCCCCCCTTGCCCCCCCCCCCTGGCGCCGCCACTGGAGTTATGAGCAGAAATACTCAACACTGAACGTTGGGCTATATATCAAATTGAAGCTATTGAAAAACTCTATTTGGTGTAGAAATTTCAAGACTTTAGCTAAAAGGGAAATATTGAAAAACTACAAACATAATTACCGATAAT